CAAAACAATGAGATATATCCCGCAGTATTCTAATCACATATTTATGCGTAATTTCGTGTCTTTCAATGGATGACTCTTTCCATGAACTGAAAAGAACTATAATTGCGATTGTACATTGTATATCTATCGCTTTATAAATCGATCAAAATTCCTAAAACTATAAGATAAATGGTAGTAATCTGCATACAAACTGCAAAATCGCAAGAATGAAACTGTCTTATTTTATTTGAACCAAAGATCCAGTCAGTATATTATAAGAATTAGTTTTATCGAGTTTATCTGAAGCGCTATTTTTAAAAAAGATATTGTTTACAAAATATATATTTTTTTTTTCTAAAATATATATCTTATAATAGAAAAAAAATATATATTTTAGAAAATATATATTTTTCAAGATACCATCGTACAGTGTTATGTAAATTATAAATTACAATAAAGAATTTGAAGAATTTTAAATAATCTTTTTACTTTTATTATTTTACATATATTTATAACTACATACGATCTGTTGTTTACTTATGTCATTTGTCGCTACGAATGATCTGTCAGTTGAATGATATATTAATGGAACTTAATTGATAATATTATAATGTTACCAGATTGAAGAAAGAATAAATTAAAATTATTAAATAAGAACGAGTGTACAAGCATACGCAGTATATCCATATATAATTTCTATTTTTTTTAAATATATTTTATTTCTTATATTAATTATTATGTTTATTATATTAATTATTATGTTATTAAAACTTTTTTAATATACTTTCCATTAAAATTATTCAAAAATTGAAAAAAATGAAATGTTTTAATTTATATATTTGATATAGTAAATTAAATGGTTAATAGATGAGAACAATAATGATATTGATACACCAGAGACTATATATTTATAATTCCATCACAAACCTTCAGTTATGATACTTGTAGTGACATAAGCATTGTGAAGTACGATAAAGATATTTTTAAGATCTAAAAATAATATCACAATATTGTATTTTAAATAATTACCAAAATAATGTTACGTTCACACATACCGAGCTAAAATTCTCCATCGACATTACAAACATTTTACCAGCTATTATTTGGCACGGCTTAGTACTACGCAGCAAAGTAAATCTCAAAAGCTGTTTTGATCTTCTCGAAATCTTATACCAGTCGCAGCTGTAACTATTAATGCATTTCACACTTTATATATTTATTTAATTTCAGCTTACAAAGTGACGACATTGGACATTAATTAATTAATTGTTTAAAACGAAAATAAATATATAAAACAACTGAAATATATTTTTCCTGATTTTACACATACATCTTTTCTGATATATTATATAAGATTGCCATAGATCTGGAAAACCGGGAAAAGTCAGGGAAATTGAAATTGGTCATGGAAATCAAGAAAAGTTAGGGGGGAAAATGTAAAAAAGTTTGGAATTTCGAAATTTGCTTATAATTCCCTGAAATTGCTTCTATTCCAAATAATTATTATTTTTTAAATATTATATCTGATGTTTATATCGTCAAATACTGTCAGAACTTGTGCATTTTAAATGATTTTAATAAAACGATTACAATTTTTATTTTATTCCTCTTTTGTATTTAGTATTTTTTTTATCTCTCTTTTTCGTCATACTGCATTCTTTTTTCCAAAACTAATTTATTTTTTGCCGGCTTGAATTTGCATCCAAAATTATACTATGCAACTAAGCTTCTTTTCCATTGTTCTTTTTCATTGTTTTTAATAATATAATTTTTCTACAATCCTTGAGTCTAAATATAAAAATTTACATATTTTACATGACTCACGGAAATTTTTCATTTTTATCTGGAAAACATGGAAAAGTCAAGGAATTTTAAAATTCATTTTCTGTGATCCTAATATATATATTAGGTGTACAACTTTGCTTCCGCTGTTTTTTTTCCGAAATTCGAGGCTTTATTGTAAAAAACTGATTATACATTTATGATTCAAAGTATTGTCCATCGCTGGCCATTATTTTCTCCCATCTTTCGGGTAGCATACGAATCCCGCGTCGAAAAAACTGGTCATCTTTTGAGGCTATCCACGAATCGATCCAATTTTTTATTTCTTCATAAGACCGGAAGTGCTGGTCAGCCAGGCCGTGTGCCATTGATCGAAACAAGTCAGAGGAAGCAACGTCTGGAGAATACGACGGGTGGGGTAGGACTTCCCATTTCAACGTTTCCAAACTTCTTGACCACTTTCGCAACATGGGCGAAGCCCATGCGAATCGAACATTGTCATGCTGCAAGATCACTTTATTGTGTCTCTCGTTGTATTGCGGCCGTTTGTCTTTCAATGCAAAATCAATTGCGTTCGATATCGATCGCCTGTTTTTTCGATGATTGTTTCAGTCGGTTCTAACAATTCATAATACACTACGCCGAGCTGGTCCCACCAAATACAGAGCATGACCTTGGACGTCAAAATCACCATTCTTGAAGCGTTGAAACCACTCACGACACGTTCTTTCACTAATAGCGGCCTCACCATAAGTATTTGAGAGCATTCGATGAGCCTCAGCCGCAGATTTCTTCACATTGAAGCAAAAAATTAAAATCTCCCGCAAATGACGAGAATTTGGCTCGTAAACTGACATTTTCAATCGAGAATAACTTTATGCAGACACAAATCGATTAATGTTTCTATGGGGTTATGTTGACAGATGCCCAAGTTTATTTTATTGTATGACGTCTATAATCTATTTATTTCGACCACCACTTACCGCTAAAGCTATCTATAGGAAAACGGCGGAAGCAAAGTTGTACACCTAATATTTTTTTAATTGCTTAGCTAATAAATGTAATTAAATTGCGTACATTACGTTTTGAAAATCGCTGCTGTGATCAATCAATCCTTGAGAAATCAAACATAGGAAATATGTATGTATCAATTGCGCTAAATTAGAAGAAAAAATTCTGATAATTTCGTCCAGTTGAAGATCTACCATTATTAACTAAAATTACACGTTTTCAAATAAAAAAGCAGTTACGGTTTAAAACTTCCATATATAATGAGAGCAAAAAATACGTACAAGTAAATTTGTTATAAAAAAAATCTTATTTGTAGAAAATAAACATTAATTAGTAATTTTATATAATAAATTCTGTTCTAATACAATATAAACAAACGAGCTTCGTATATATTTCTGATTTTAGAAGCTAAATTTCTCGTCTGAACAAATACTTTTTGAACATTCAAACAATACAATTTTTAATTTCCATTTTTTTCAGATGATATATTTTGTATAATTAATACATATTTTTTTGGTACATATAATTTTAATAAATATATATAATCTGTTTTAATCTTTATGAATAAATTATTAATTATCCAATAAGAAATTATCGTTACTTAAACGTCGAGTCGACATCGAATTGATGTTGAAATTATCATATTTATATTGATTCGTTAGATGACATCATTAGATAACATCATTAGATGACTCATTTCTCGCTAGATAATATTTATTTTTAAAATAAAATAAAATATAATATTTTAAAAATATTTTCTCTGTACGAATACTTTTTGCACTCACTGTATGTATTTCAAATGTTTACCACAGCCGCGCCGAAACTCAAGGATATAATTTCAATGCTCAATTGAAAGAGAAATGATGTTGCATAGTTAGATATGAACAAATCAGAAAATCTACAAATAATGAAAAAATTAAATAATTTAGTCTATTTAACGATTAATACATAAAATACTCAATTGAATAGGACAATTTAAAAGATATCAAAGATTAACAGCAAAAGCTTGTTAGTTGCTAATATTTAACAATCTTTACAAAATAATATTAAGATAATAGATAATAAGGAAATAATATATATTAACAGACGTTTCGATAATTAGGTCATATTGTTATATTTTACAATTATTCAATGTTGTTATATTATAAATAACAAGCATTTTTAACTAATATTTGGTAAAATTTCTATACTTATTAAAATATCATTTAAAAAGCTTAATTCGATTCGTTCTTATAACGATAAAAATCATTACAATATGTTTCTTCTCTCTTCTTCTTATGTTCCAAATGTAGTTAGTCATGTGATTATTGTTAATTAATCTATTTAAACAAATCTAATGTATAAAAAATAATAAATCTTATAGAAGAGGAAGCCCAATCAACATAAACATTGTCCAGTTCTACGCATCTTTATCTCTCCCATTTTTATCTCTATTTTATCTCTAGAATATGTTATGAAAGTATTGCACACACTCCACACACACACACACACACACACACACACATAACTACGTTAATACTAACTTTAAGACATGTTGATATAATTTGATACAGCCAATTATGATACGGTATACTTCATCATCTTTAATATTTGGTTCGAGTAATACAAAATCGGAGCCTCGTATGCGCTCTATGTTATAGCTGCTTAAAAATTATAAATTATATCGTAACACACTCTTAAAGAAATGCATAAATGCTTTAATCCAAGAATATTTTATGCTTAGAATAGCGCCAAGAATAAATAATTTCCGATTAGCAATATTATTCGTAAAATAAAATAAATTTTAATCTTAGTTCAAAACAAATTTCATATCAATAAAAGAAATAATGTATGTTGTACTCAACACTAAATATGCTTATATTAGCATTATTTTTTTCTTCAATGATACCTTTATCAACTTATTTTAAATCGATATGTTTTCCAGTAATATCAAGATGACAGAAATCAATGCTGTAGTAAGTGACAATAGCTTTGTAAATGAAATACCACATTTATAGAGCATGCCTCCTAAGCATGTGCAAGGAGTACAAGTTTCCAAGGAAAAATTGAATCAAACTTGGATTATTCCCTCTACTAATGTAGCTCAAAAGCAAGTGAAATGCTGAGACTGTTCTACCAATACCTCCGTTAACCATATTGTGAATAAGGATATAAACAGACGATCAACTTTCTCACAATGATAGAGAACGTTGGCTGTATATACAGACGGATTCATTGCTCTCACCTATTTAACTGTGAATAACAGATCCGTCAATATGCCATGGAAAATTCGCCCATGTGAATAGGCACCTCTTTGTCACATCAGTGATACACTCGATCGGCTGTTCACGCATCTCCATTTGCAATATAACTAACAGAAACATTAGGACGAATTGAATATTTCATCCACTCTTAAAGATTGAACAACATTTAGAGGTATGTTTCACGAATGCAACAACTTACTCAAAAAACCATCACCAACAGTCAATCGTTATTCACTAGATCCATGCACTTCTGACATCTTGATATTACTGAAGAATCCTTATACATATTGTTGCCGCCTGCCGGCGAATTTTCAAATTTGTAATCCTTAATTCAAGAATAAATAATTTGTAAATAATGCGATTGAGTTTGTTAGAATCACATAATAATTTTAGAAACAAGAATATTATTTTAAGAACAACATATTCTTTGCATAAATCTATTTATTATTGATGCCCAGCAGTGCTAAGTTTAAAAAAATAAAAGTTAAATTAAAAAGTGAAAAAGTGAATTTTTTTCTATAAATTTTTTAAAAGAGATCTTGATACAGTCTCTTTCGAGAGGGAAATTTACCGTAAGCATTCGAATAACGCGCAGATATGATGAATGTAAAGTGTAAACATTGTGTCGATGGCTATTGGCACAGAAACTATGTAGAATACGCTAATAAATCCGTGAAGCATCAACAGTTTGAAATATTTGTCTATGTCAAGAACATGATCTACACGATATAGAAACTTGACAAAGTATGTTTCGTTTGTAGGTAAAATTGTATAGATTCCGCTAACGATGATTGGTGTCGTTGAGGAAAGACACGTCATGTACATAACAACTGAAAATATAAGTTACTTCTTTTCCTCTATGTATTTCAAAAGTTACAACATTTTAATAAAAAGAAAACGGAGTTTATTTAATAAAAATAACAAAAATGTGAGCTGCGCATTCAGAAAAAGTTTGCAAACACTTTCTTACTTGTATAATGCTCTCGGAAATATTTCGAAAAAAATGAAGAAAAAAGCATTATTATGGACAAACAATAACAAGAACGAAGTAAAAGAGAGGATAAAGAGTTAGAAATAATTTCTCATATATTGCCAGATGTGTATCCGATAGAAAAAAATGATAAATTTTAAAATAAAGGTAACTTACTCGCGTATCGTATCGTGAAAGTTCTGCTTTTCTCTGCGTAATGCTGTAATATTTTTTTCTCCGAATTTGTATGTTTTATCTTCCATGTCTCTTCGATGTCCTCCAAAAGTTCTTTCATCTGTAGCTCGAAAAAATAATTCATATACAATCACAGAATGATTCAATTCGTTTTTTATACAATCGAAAAATACGAACTTTGTTATTAGTGAATACACAAGTGACGAGCTTTATAACGATGACACTCTCCACCAGTAACTGCGAAACATTTTCCATAATGATGCTTAGATCTGTTATTCCAGCTGCTAAGCCCCACATCTGTCAAAAATCAGAAACGAATTATCTATGCTAATTTTAACATTTCCTTGTTGTGCGTTTCTTTAAACACCTCAAAGCCTATCAAACTATAAATGAACAAAGATGTTATTGCGAACATCATGTTACTCTCCAGTCGCGACTGAAATGGCCATTGGCCGATTAGGACCAGAAACCTTTTGTTAAGATAATAGTAGCGATTGTCAAAGAAGGACATTGAGAAAAAGTAGATCGTTCGAAATGATCAGATATCTCGTCGAATATTCACGTCTAATCGCAGAGTTTATTTCTTTGAAATAATATTTCCGTATTCCTTTGAGAGAAAAAGAAAAGTAGCGAAACTAAGAAACATTGAAGTGTATTCCACAGTGTATTACGCAATCACATATGAGTAATAAAAAGCGTTTCTCTCAATAGACAAATCCTTTTGTGATCGAAGAGATCTATAACTATGACTATACACTGTATACATCGTTTTATAAAGTGAAATTCCTAAAACTATAAGATAAATGATGGCAAGATATGTCCAAATTGCTGCAGAATCGCAAAGATGAAACTGTTTTATTTTATTTAAACCAAAAAAAAATTATTAGTCGATATATTTAGTAATTAATTTTATCAAGTTTAGTATTTTTACATTGTATTAAATGTACTGATGCTGCTGCAGATAAAATTTGAAAAAAAAGAATGATCATAAGTTTTCATTTTTCTTCTCTTTTCTCTTTTTTTTCCAAGACATTAAATTTTAGACAATTTTTAAACTTAAAATTTAGTAATATCTCCATTTAGTTAGAATATATTTTTTACATTATTAATGTGACGTATTCAAATGTTTTGTCGAGTTATCGTAAAAACTTTTTACTATAAAAGTTTAAATAATTTAATTTTCAATTAGGTAAAAAACTATTTTCTGCCATAATTTTCTAGATAATTCATATTAGATTACTACAAATTTTTATATTCGATAAAACGATTTGTTTGTTCCTATAATGTAATGTTATTTCAATTATTTGAAGCATAATTTGTACCTAACTTTTAAATATTTTTATATATTTTTTCTACTTTTCTTACACTCTTGGAAAAATATCGAACATTCAATATTCATCGCAAATCCGGAACGATTCAATCAAATTTTTTAATTAATTTGACAGAAGATTAATATGTGAGATGATTGCACAAATATTCTGTAAGAGATTAAATACAAAAAGTATTCGACACAGTTTGTAAACAAACCGTGAAAACATATTTTTTCAGTTAAAATTAACAATTATGATATATTAAATAAATCTGCATTTTATTCATTTATCTTAAAATTTATGTTAAATACTTTATTTTGATGTTATTTGTTTATTTTGATGATTCATCACAAAAATTATGTCATTTTAATACTAATAAGTGTTGAATATCATTTTAACAAAAAACCTTTAAATAACATAATCTTATTATGTTAATTTAACACTCAAATGTATTAAAAAATTCAACATAAACACAATCAAAAACGTGAGGATCATTTCCAACACAAATGCACAATGAACTATATATTATGTACTCAAGTATATGATTGCATGCAAATTATTATAATTTATTAAGACAGAAACTTAATTGAAAATTAATTAAAAAATGAGAATAAGAAATAATATTGAAAGTAATAAAAGATAAAAATTTTTTATAATACTTGAGAACAAAAATACTTGTTATACACTTGAGAACAAAAATACTTTTATTTATAATTATCTTTTTGTCAACAAGCACAAACCTCAGACATTCATGTTACAAATAATTATATACTATCCGAGTTTAATGATACCATTAACGTAAGATGTCATTAACGTTTAATGATATGTAACGTTAATGATATGATAGGAAACGGATGTTTTCATCAGATTAAAAATATAATACATTGTTAAGATGTACATATTTTATAATTTTGAGTATGCATAATTGAATAAAATATTGTTATATATTTTTGGACATTGTTAAAAAATAAATTATTTATACAAATTTGAGATTTATTTAATTTTGTAGCTAATATTCATATATTAAATTTTATCATACCGAGCCATAATTTCCAAGCAGATTATATATAATTTTGCAATAGTTATATTATATGTGATATACTTTTTGACATTTCATTAATATAAATAACAACATTTTTTGCTTCCCGAAAACATTTGATGCCACGTTCCGTGTACGTATTATATCTAATAGTTTTATATTTTTCAAATTAGTCATCGTTGCTAATTAATTATATTAATAACTTGCGCGGCAAAAGAAATTTGAGAATTATGATCTATTATTTTCTGCCCTAGTCAGCTATGGAAGAAGAATCGAAGAGATTGAATGACTACGAGTGGACCGTTCCTTACCAATTCCGTACGAGTCACGATCTGCGAAAATTTCATATTAGCGATCCTCTTAAATGAATACGGAAAATATATTTTTTCATGACATGTACTACTACATGTGGATCAATATAGTTTATTAAATTGATAGACATTAATTGTGTATAGAATATTTATTATTTATTACCATCAAGCAGTACATTAAGTAGAATTAATTAAACTAATGTCGGTGATAAAACATGTCGCGAACGTCGATTCAATCAAATTAGTCTATTGGTAGCAAATAAAGGTAGGAAAATTCGTATCATATTTGTAATAATTTTCCGATAGATCTTAAATTTGTCCATTTTTATAAAACCTCCCCAATAAGAAACATTTTGGAATATTTCAACAACATTGTAACATTATTACAATGTTATTGTAGCAACATTGTAACATTATTACAATGTTATTGAAATGTTCCAAAATGTTTCTTGCTTATTGGATCTCTATTCTAATTTGTAGTTGTATACAATTCACTATCTTCATCCCCTTTAAATGATTCTCCGCACTTCATTTGACATTATTTTAGGGGTGTATTCGCAAAGAAATATACATGATATAGTAATTGAATGAAATGGAATCAGTAATAAAAGGGAAACGCCTCCCGTAAGCAAATGACGCAGAATCCTACAATTTTAATTCACGCATGTCCTTGACGTTGTATAAAATTTTTCATAAAACAACACAGGTGATAACGTTTAATTTTGAATAATATATTCACTTTAAAACTGAGATTACCGCAATTATAGTCCACATAATCCGTCGCCATTCATCAATTATTTTAGATACACAGGTTGTTTTTGTGCCAAGTGCTTGTGTCTAGATAGAGCGGACTAAACTGAGTCAAAAAGCTCTCTACCATCTTGCAATTTTCGCAATGGTTAACAAGATATTAATTACTAAATATCACTGAATATTAACCTTCAACAATTTTTACTCAAATATTTCAACTTTATAGAAAAACAGTGAGAAAAAATTATTTATTTTTTTGTCTCACTGTTTTAAAGTTCTGAAAATTTTTTCAGAATTTTTTAATACATATTTTCTCATGTTGGTAAAAATAAGAAAATGCAGTACTAAAAAGTTGATAAAAAATTGTGAAAAAATTGTTAAAATTCGATGAGAAAAAAATAAATGATTTTTGTCTTTTGCAGTTTTTCTCTAAAGTTATAATATTTCAGTAAAAAATTATTGAAGCTCAATATTCAACTTATAACAATTAATATCTTGTTGTTTGCATTATTGCTCCAATCTTTCAACAACGATGTGAACTGGCAGATTGTTTTTACATAATAAACTTTTCTTTTATAATTGGATTTACTTTATATAACAAGGTATTTAAAAGTATAAAGTTTTTAACAAATATTAAAGACTTTATATTAATCATAGTGTTAATTCTGTTTATAGACATAATTCTACAAAGATGAATTTATTATATCCAAATTGATACGATTATGTAATTTTTGACATCACTTATGGAAGGAAAATTTTACCAGTATTTCTAACTATTATGTATGATTTCATATTCACATTGTTATTTATTAAGTTTTACATATTCCGACATTATTATTTTGTAAATTTAAATTTGTTTTCTAACAATGAAAATGTCTCGATCGGAGTTGAAACATATGTAATCTAATATTATTAAATAGTCTTTTGTATTTATATCTAGTTCGTTGCTCAACCTTTTATTTTGATTTATTCGAATCGAGCCATCGTATTTCTTTTTATAATTAATATCTATTATGCTATCTTGACCGATAATAGAGCCGTTTTGTTGAAATGATAGAAGTGATTGTCGTACAAAGACATTTTGTTATAGCAATTCAATGTAAGAACTCTACGAGACAATCACATATTATAATCTCGTCGAATATTCACACCTATTCACAGAACTATTTCGTATTCTCGTGGAAACGGTTGATTTCTAAAAAAAACGGAGTGCAATGTGAAAAAACTACATTCAGATAATACTCCACAATTTTACGTAACAACGCATTACCTACATATTTATAAGTAATGTGTTATATTTTTCTTAACGAAATCCTTTGTAACCGATGAAATATATCTGCGACAGTCATTCTGTATCCTTTGCGTTATAAATCAAGTAAAACAGATAAAGAATAGAATATGAAACATGCTATTCATGTGATCAACAATGAAACAATTTACTTTTCTTGCTTGATTGACACTTGTCTGAAGCTAATCGATGTTGAAGGAATTAGTTCTACGACATATAGTATTTTTACATTTAATTTAATTAATCAAATATGCACAATGATTCTACTAATTGAGCTGGATTATAGAGCTGTTTTATAAGTTGAGATAGAAAATGTATTAGCCGTTTTCTCAAATATTAGAAAATATATTCCTTTTCTTATCATAATATTGTCAAAGTTTAGTTAGAACAAACTATCATAAATGTGTTCTTTCACAAGTTATTTTCGGAAATAAATTCTTGCAAATATATATTATTCATCCAAAATCTATGAAAAAAGAGAATTGTGTATTATTTAAAGTTTATAGTTTATATTAGGTGTGAGAAAAAGTTCGTGGCGTTTTTCCCGTTAGATGGCATTAAAAAAACGCCACGAACTTTTTCACACCTAATATATAGACTAAATTTTAAGAAGAATGTTTGAATGTATGTACTTATTATTAAATGATTAAGTTAAAAAAAACAACAATGATTTTCAATAATTCCCGATTAAAGTGACCAATTGTTCCAAATTTTATATAATAAGATTTTCGGCTCTCTATAGAAGCGTTCCGAAAAAAACTTAAACAGGACGCCATGTACACACAGTATGTTATATTAAAGTTATCAAGTTGAGCAGACATTACAACCACAAATACATGTAACATTATGTTTATTGAGTATGCATCTCATTTAAAGTACAAGCATTTTAAGCAACACGAACAGATCTTTTCTTTTCCTTTTCTTTAGATTTCTGACTTTTGCAATAAGGATCGTAGACTAAGGATCTATCCTGCAGACAGATTTGTATAGCCGTATAAGAAAAATTATCCAATTACATTTTTATATTAAAGACACATATAAAATGTGATTGGATAATTTTCTTGATATAAGATTTTGCTGATTTATTTGATTCAGAAAAAACTTCAGATCACTTCTTCACTTCTTGCCATCACGGATGGTTATAATAAGTAGCAATGGCTGTGTTCAACACAATATTTATTTTGCAACTATTGAAAATTTTCTTTGCTGAAAATAAGGCTATTTCCATCTATAAATATGTTATCCTTGCTTAATATTCGATGCACAACAAGATTAAAATGTTACCTGGATAGCATCCAAATAGGAATTTGAACACAATCGAAGTTATTACTGATCACGTAACTTTTTCTCTAGGGCGGAAATGTGAACAGTGAAAAATTTTTTTTATTATTTTTAATAAAATAACAGATATTTTTCACTTTTTATTGTTCCTTCATTTAAATGAATAAATAATGTAAAATAAATATTCAATAAATATTAAGTAAACAAGTAAAAAATATTTTGTCAAGTCATTATTTCAAGTGAATAATTAATATGATATAAATTACGATCCACTTGCTTCTTACGAATGCCGTGAATGCTGTGCTATGTTGAATTAGTCCATTTTCTCTTTACATGATCTTCATAACTCCCTAAAGTCAAACCAATGACGTCTTATATCCTCCTTTAAATCATACAACTTTTGTCTGAAACATTTTTCTCTAAAATGCATTGTTTCTGAGAAAAAATTTGTAACGCTTTGCTTTATTTTGAATATATATATGTGTGTGTGTGTGTGTGCGTGTGCGCGCGCGCGCGCGCGCGCGTGTGTGTGTGTGTGCGTGTGTGTACACATTATATTGCTTACTTTATTAAGAAATACAATGAAATTGTATTTATATAACTTGCACATTTGTTTTACATGATTATTAATTAATGATTATGTTTATATTCGATTGATATTATTATGACAACAAAATTACAATTTACATCTATATTTATTACAAATTTTCTGAATTTTATTACGACTGTGATCTTGTATAAAAGAAGTAATTAATCAATACTTACACTAAATTGATAAATTCTTTAAAAATATGTATTTTTATTATAGTGCAATAGAAAAATGTCTGAAATTTGAAAATTAGGTATTTTACAAATATTTTTTGAGTTCTATTATACTGCAAGACGTGTGAATGCATCTGGGCATAATAAGTACACACACACACACACACACACACACACACATACACACACACACGCGCGCGCGCGCGCGCGCGCGTGCACGCTCACAGTATGATAGAACTCACAAAATATTTGCAAAATACTTACATATACTATATGTCTCATACAATTTGGTATAGCTATGACACTAGAATATTAAATTAATATTGATATAATCTTAAATAATGATATTTCTATTATAAACATCCAGTTACGATTTTTATCGCAGTGATATAAGCATCATAAAGTACGATAAGGATACTTGTATAACCTAAAAATAATATCGCAATAATGTTGTATTTTAAATAAGTTAAATAATCAATAAAATAATATTACTCTTGCACATACCGAACTAAAATTTTCCATCGACATTATGAACAGCTTACCAGCTTTTATTTGGCACGACTTAGTAGCACGTAATAATGTAAATCTCAAAAGATCTTTCGATCTCATTGAAATCTTATACCAATTGCAGCTGTAACTATTAATGTTTTCAGCACTTAATTTTTTATATAATTTTTGTTAGCCTATCAAACGACAACATCAACCATTAAACTGTGTAAACAACTAAAATAAATTTTCTTTTATTTTACATATTTTCTTTGCGTATTTAATATATTTTTTAGATTACTTAAATATTATTTGCTAACAAATGTAATCGAATTGCGTACATTACATTTTGAAGTCCGCTGCTGTGATCAATCAGTTTTTGCGAAATCAAACTCAGCAAATATATGTGTAGCACTTGCAGTAAATTACCAGAGAGAACTCTGATAATTTCGTCGGGTTGCTTGTCTATTAATATCAGCTTAAATTACAATAATTACTTTATTAGGCATTTTTCAAATTAAAAATTAATTAACACATGTACATTTAAGGCTATATATGTATCTTAAAAGTTTACCTCAGCTGAACCGAAGCTTAAGGATATAATTACATTTCCCAATAGAAAGAGAAATGCTACTGAATAGCTAGATGACAACACATCGGAAAGTCTACATGTAAAATAATTAAATATAAATAATTTAGTTTGTTTAAGAAAATGTATTATAATCTGTAAGTGATTAAATTTAATACAAAATTAGCATATATAAATTGACATGAATTTGAAAATTAAGTATTTTACAAATATTTTTTGAGTTTTATTATACTGCAAGACGTGTGAATGCATCTGTGGGCATAATAAGTACACACACACACACACACACATACGCGCGCGCGCGCGCGCGCGTGCACGCTCACAGTATGATAGAACTCACAAAATATTTGCAAAATACTTACATATACTATATGTACATATGTATTTATATGTACCTATACAGCCTGCTATCTGTACTTATATCTGCTTTCCTTTTAGGAGACACAAAATCGACACAGTTTGTCATAGTTAAATGGAACGTGCGCATTGTATATGAACTTTTAATATCTAACCTTTTAAAAGATTTTAATCAAAGATGGGCAAAGAACAGAACAAAATGATAGAAACTGACTTGAGTATACTTTCCAATACCGTTAAATTTGTCAAAATCGCATTAACGCTCTTTGATTCTTCTTTCTAGCGAAATATATGGATTCAGTGAACTAAATTGTAAATGGAAAGCAACTGTATCCAAACGAAAAGCAGCATAGTATATATATATATATATTTGTGTGTGTGTGTGTGTGTGTGTGTGTATGTGTGTGTGTGTGTGTACACGCACATTAAAGCTTGCATTGATACTAACTTTAAAACATGTTTATAGGATTTGATGCAAAAAATTATGTGACGATATGCTTCGTCATCCTCAATGTTTGGCTGAAGAAAAACAAAATCCGAGCCTTGTATGCGCTCTATGTTATAACTATTTAATAAAATTATTATATTACCGTTTTTGTGAAAAGAGATTTCGATGCAGTTTATATGATGGCAACTTACCGTAAGCATTCAAACAACGCACAGATATGTTGGATGCAAAGTGTATACATTGTGTCGAGAGCTATTGGCACATGAACTATATAAAATACGCTGATAAATCCATGAAGCATCATTATATTGAAATATTTGTCCATATCAATAACATGTTCCAATCGATATAGAAACCTAACATTATACGTTTTGTTTGTCGGTAAAATCTTGTACATCCCGCTAATAACAACTGGTGTCAGAGTGTAGAACAGCCACACAGCGTAAAAAACAACTGGAATATTACTTCTTCTCCTTTACATTGCTCAAAAAGTCGTGATATTTTTACAGAAAAAGAATGGAATTTATTTAACATGTATATATATATGCAAGAATGTATAATAAAAAGGTAAGCTAGTATTAAGAATAGAAAATTACAAATATTTCAACTTATATTCTTTCGAAGATATTTCAAAGAAAAGGAAGAAGAAAATATTTTGGACAATACTAATAATAATGTAATAAGAACAGATCAAAAGAGGGAATGAAAAGATAATATCAATGTTTCAGATCTTACTAAATATGCAGTATTTATCCAAAAGAATGGAATGAATAAATTGTATGTGTATTGTACAACAAAGATAACTTACTCGCGTATCGTATGGCGAAGATTTTGCTTTTTTCTGCATGATGCTGTAATATCTCTTTCTCCGGGCCCGTAGGTTTTATCTTCCACGTTTCTTCAACGTCCTTTAGAAGCTCTTTAATCTGCACAGCTCGAAAAAATTATTCAGTATATAATTACATTACGACCCGATTAATTTATACGGCAGAACGTAAGAATACAAACTTTGTTATTAGTTAACACACAATTCATGAGCTTTAGCATCATGAAACAATCCACTAGTAAAGGCGAAGCGTTTTCCATGATGATGTTCAGATCCGTTATCCCAGCTACTAAGCCCCAAGTCTATTGAAAATGAGAAACGTATCATCAAAAATGTACATCAATTCTAATGTACTCTTTCTTTATATTTCTTCAAATACCTCAAAAGCTATCAAACTGAGAATGAACAAAAATGCTGCAGCAAACAGCATATTACCCTCCAGTCGCGACTGAAATGGCCACTGGCCGATTATGATCATAAACCTTTTGTTGAGGTAATAGTAACGATTGTCAAAGAAAGACATGTTGCAATATCGAAATCAAAATATTATCGTTCGAAATGATCAGATATCTTGTCGAATATTCACCGCAGAATTTATATCCTTGATATAAACTAAACAGTACTTCCGTATGTCTTTGAAAATATTTTTGAAAAGAAAAGTATTATAGCGCTATGACAAAACAATGAGATATATCTCGCAGTACTCTATCATATATTTATGAGTAATCTCGTGTCTCTCAATGAACTCTTTTCGTCACTGAAAAGATCTATAACTGCGACTGTACATTGTATATCCATCGTTTTATAAATCGAGCAAAATTCTTAAAACTATAAGATAAATGGTAGTAATCTGCATACAAATAGCAAAATCACAAGAATAAAACTGTCTTATTTTATTTAAACCAAAAGATCCAGTCAGTATATTGCAAGAATTAATTTTATCGAGTTTATATAAAGCGCTATTTTTAAAAAGATATTGTTTACTGTTCTAAAATACATATTTTTCAAGATACTATCGTACAATGTTATGTAAATTATAAATTACCAATAAACTTTGAATAATTTTAAATAATCTTTTCATTTTTATTATTTCATGTATATATTTGTAACTGTTAGAATTTGTTGTTTACTTATGTCATTTGTCGCCACGAATGATATGTCAACTGAATGATGTATTAACTTAATTAATTGATGATTTTACAATATTAACAGATTGAAAAAAGAATGAATTAAGATTATTAAATAAGAACGAACTAGTATACAGATATACGCAGTATACCCATACATAATTTTCTTTTCTTAAATACATTTTATTTCTTATATTAATTATTTTGTATTAAAACTTTTTTAATATACTTTCCGTTAAAATTTTTCAACAAATTGAAAAAAAAAATAATTAGAACTATAATACTTATTAATAAATTTATATACAGATATTTACGCTAAACATATATAATTTCTATCTAATTTTTTATTAAATTTTATTTCTAGTAATAATTATTTCTTTACTTTATTGAAATTTACAATTTAGTTAAATATACATATAATTACGTTGTTTTTTTTCTTAAAACTTTTTTAATCCAGTTTGTACAACTTGCACATTTGTTTTAAATGATTATTTATTTATTGATTATGTTTATATTTAAATAATAATTGTGACAACAAAATGATGATTTATATCAATTATTACTTATATTACGATTTTATTTTGTGTAAAAGAAATAATCCATAGCAATACAAAATTGACAATATTTAAAAAATGTTTTAATTAGTGTAGCAAAATGTTTTAATTTATATATTTCATATAGTAAATTAAATGGTTAAAGACAGAACAATAATGATGCGCCAGAGGGTATATATTTATAATTCTATATATTTCCATCACAAACCTTCAGTTATGATAATTATTGTAGTGATGTAAGCATTGTGAAATACGATAAAGATACTTTTAAGATCTAAAAGTAATATCACAATATTGTATTTTAAATATAACAATTACCAAAACAATATTACGTTTACACATACCGAGCTAAAATTCTCCATCGACATTACAAACATTTTACCAGCTATTATTTGACACGGCTTAGTAGTACGCAGCAAAGTAAATCTCAAAAGCTGTTTCGATCTCCTCGAAATCTTATACCAGTCACAGCTGTAACTGTTAATGCATTTCTCTTTAGTTATTTATTTAATTTTAGCCTACAAAGTGTGACGACATTGGACATTAATTAATTAACTGTTTAAAATGTAAATAAATATATAAAACAACTGAAATATATTTTTTCTGATTTTACAAATACATCTTTTCTGATATAATATACAGGATTGTCATAGATCTGGAAAACTGAAAAAAGTCAGGAAATTGAAATTGGTCATAGAAACCGGGAAAAGTTAGAGGAAAATGTAAAAAAGTCTGGAATTTCGAAATTTGCTTATAATGCCCTGAGACTGTTTCCATTCCAAATAATTGTTACAATTTTTTAAATATTATATCTGATATTTATATCGTCAAATACTTTCAAAACTTGTGCATTTTAAATGATTTTAATAAAACGATACAATTTTTATTTTATTCAGTATTTTTTTTATCCCTGTTTTTCGTCATACTGCATTCTTTTTTCCAAAACTAATTTATTTTTTGCCAGTTTTTGCATCCAAAATTATACTACGCAATTAAGCTTCTTTTCCATTGTTCTTTTTCATTGTTCTTTTTCATTGTTTTTAATAATATAGACTTTTCTACAATCTTTGAGTAAATATAAAAATTTACATATTTTACATTATTCACGGAAATTTTTCATTTTTATCTGGAAAACATGGAAAGTCAAGGAATTTTAAAATTCATTTTCTGTGGTCCTAATATATATATTTTTTTAATTGTTTAAAGCTAATAAATGTAATTAAATTGCGTACATTACGTTTTGGAAACCGCTGCTGTGATCAATCAATCCTTGAGAAATCAAACATAGAAAATATATATGTATCAATTGCGCTAAATTAAGAGATAGAATTCTGATCATTTTTTCCAGTTGAAAGTCTACCATTATTAACTAAAATTACACGTTTTTAAACGTTTTCAAATAAAAAAGCAGTTATCGTTTAAAACTTCCATATACAGTGAGAGCAAAAAATACTCGTACAAGGAAATTATATAAAAAATTATATAAATTATATTTAAAAAATCTAATTTGTAAAAAATAAACATTAATTAGTAATTTTATATAATAAATACATTCTGTTCTAATATAAACAAATGAGCTTCGCATATATTCCTGATTTTAGAAGTTTAATTTCTCGTCTGAACGAATATTTTGAGCATTCAAACAATACAATTTTTAATTTCTTCTTTTTTCAGATGATATATTTTATATAATTAATACATATCTTTTTGACATATAATTTTAAGGAACATATCAAAGTCTATTCTATTCTTTATGAATAAATTATCCAATAAGAAATGATCCTTAATTAAATGTCGATCGACATCAAATTGATGTTGAAATCTTTATATTTATATCGATTCAGCATCAATTCGATGACTCATTTCTCGCTGAATAAAATTTATTTTTAAAATAAAATAAAATATAATTTTTTAAAAAAATATTTTCTCTGTATGAATACTTTTTGTACTCACTGTATGTATTCCAAATATTTACCTCAGCCGCGCCGAAGCTCAAGGATATAATTACATTGCCTAGTTGAAAGAGAAATGACATTGCATAGATAGATAAGAACACATCAGAAAATCTACAAATAATAAAATAATGAAATAACTTAGTCGATTTATCAAGATTAATACATAAAGCTCAATTGAATAGAACAATTTAAAATATCAAAGATTAAGAGCAAAAGTTAGTTGTTAGTTGCTAATATTTAATAATCCTTACAAAATAATATATATTAAAACAGACGTTACGACCATAATTAGGTCATATTGTTATACTATACAATCGTTCAATATTGTTGTACTATAAATAACAAGCATTTCTAACCGATATTTGGTAAAATTTTCATACTTTTTATTACAATATCATTTAAAAAGCTTAATTTGATTCGTCCTTATAACACGCTGAAACAATAAAAATCATTAAAATGTATTATTCCTCTTTTCTTCTTATGTTCTTATGTTCTGTAGTTAGTCAGTATGATTATTGTCAATTAATCTATTTAAACAAATCTAAAGTATAAAAAATAATAAATCTTATAGAAGAGGAAGCCTAGTCAACATAAACATTGTTCAGGTCTACGCACTTACGGCCAATAAAAAAGGTCAAGAGATCGAAGAATTTTACTAGCAGATCGTTGAGGTCCTTTCGTATTTAAAGATAACTGAAGTAAATATTATATATTATAGGGGATTTTAACGCGAAAGATGGATGAATCACCACAAATAAAGTGACTAGTCAGTTCGGACTTGGGAAAAGAAACGAAAAAGGGGACCGCCTGGTGCAGTTTTGCATCGACAATGACTTGGTGATTCCGAACACCTGGTTTCAATTACCTACAAGACACCGTTTATACTTGGAGATCTCCGCCAGACGGACAAAATAAAAGAAGCGTCCGAAAACAAATCTAATACATCTTGACAAATCAGCAGTTTAGGAATTGCGTTCAAAGTCTGTGAAAATATAATAAAATAATATAATATAAAATCTGTGAAAATATATACAGCGGCAGACATCAATTCTGATCGTAATCTGTTTTGTGCAAAATTGAAGCTGCGTTTGAAAAAAGTAACAGTAAATAACAAGCAGCGAAAATTTTATTTAGAAGGGCTACGGTCGTCCCAGGCAGCAAAAATGCCAAAGCAAGAAATCAATTCCGATCTGACCAACATACTACCGAATTGGTTAATAACGGCGTGAACTTGGGTTTGAGTAAAATTAAGAATGCAATCTTTCAGCCTAATGAAAAGTTTAGGAATATTAAACGGCTGAAAACGAAAGATTGGATTGAATGATGAGATCCTGAATTTGATGAAGTGGCGAAGATCTTTCAAAAATGAGGATCCAGTTCAATATCAATCAGTTTAATTCGGAAGAAGATCAGAAAAGACAAGGAAGACAAGGTCTGCAGGGAAATAAAACAGCTGCAGGAAATGCATGATTTCCATTTTTACAATGAAATCAACAAATCTGTGGAATGTTCAGGAGTCTCGAGTCAATCTCGAATCCTACCATGTTACGAAACTCTGATGATAAATTCATGCTATTGTAAATCCTGAAGATCTAATCGCCCAATGGACGAGATATATTCACCTTTTTCATTTCAATAGAGAGGAGCAATTGGAGAATCACATAGCGTGAGCATTCTCCCCTTAGAGAAAAACTCGGCATCCAGAATGCCAGCAATCGCAGAGCTCCTGGATCTGACGAAATACCAGTCGAGCTATTAAAATTGCTTGATGAAAGAGGCATCAGAATACAGCACTGTTTAATCAAGTTTACTAGTCTGGTGACGTACCATTTGAATGGCTATAATCAATATTTGTATCGTTATCGAAAAAATGCAAGCCGAATAGATGTTTTCGTCTGATTTTCGTCTTGTCAACTTGATGAGCTACATCTTAAAAATCCTGTTACGGGTAATACAGGGTCGAATGCACGCTGGATATCATGGACAAAACTCAGCTTTCGCAGCGGAATAGGAACAAGAGAAATGCTGTTTTGTATGAATGTTATTGCTGCAAAAATGCAGGAAATTCCAAAAGCCGATTTTCGTGCTTCATAGATTTTGAGAAAGTATTTGATAGAGTACAGTATACGCAGTTGATCGAAGCAATATATCGGATGATCTCGACATACGACTACTGAAGAACCTTTATTGAAATCAAATGACAGTTGTTAAAGTCGACGGAGATCATCATCAGACCAATCGCGTGCCAGAGTGTGCATGTGGGTGAGGGTTTGAGGAGAGTAACATATCATGTATATGTATACAGGGTGAATCAGAGTTGTTGAACTAGCTTTTTACCCTATGAAAAAATAATTGACTGCACACATTATAATTCAATTAGTTTTGAAGTCAATAATGTTCTCATAAAATAAAAATTTGATTCAACGACTCTGATTAAATATATATATATATATACATATATATATATATATATATATACACACACATACATACGCATATAATTTTAAATTGTTCGATTCAATTAAGCTTTATGTATTAATCTTGATAAGTAGACTAAATTATTCCATAATTTAGTCTGCTCCACAAACTCCGTCGGAAAAATTATTGGACATCTTGTACACACATACACACACACACACACACACACACACACACACACACACACACACACACACACACACACGGAGTATCTAACACTACTATACAATATTTTATTTTTTTAATGTGAATTTTATTCCTATACGAAGTTAACCTCCCACTTTTAGAATTCACTTATTTTGAAAATTGCGTGGAATTGTGCTAGGTTTGTGCTACAATGTGTTCAAGTATTAAAGTCAAAATACGAAAAATACATTAAAAAATAAAAAAAAATGTTTTTATAGACCCCCCCTCTACTTTACGATTTGTTATGATTTTGCTAGGTTGTGCTAAGTTGTGTTAACATTGTGCCAAAGTGGTATCCTCAAATAATGACAATAACAGAAGTTATGATAAAAAATAATTTTTCACAATTCAGAAAAAAAATGACTAACGTCCATTTTCTTATTAGGATTTTTAATCTATCTCTAGAACATGCTATGAAAGTATTGCACACACACATGCACGCATGCACATAACTATTAATACTAACTTTAAGGCATGTTGGTACAATTTGATGCAGCCAATTATGTCATGATATACTTCATCATCCTGAATATTTGGTTGGAGTAATACAAAATCCGAGCCTCGTATGCGCTCTATGTTATAGCTGCTTAAAAATTATAATATCGTAATAAACAAAAAAAATGAATTCTTAAAGAAATGCTTTATCCAAATAAATGCTTTAATCCAAGAATATTTTATGCTTAGAATAACGCCAAGAATAAACAATTTCCGATTAACAATAAATTATTCGTAAAATAAAATAAATTTGAATCTTAGTTCAAAACAAATTTTATTTCAATAAAAGAATAATGTTGCACTCAACACTAAATATACTTATATTAGCATTATTTTTTCTTCGTTTCCTTTCATCAACTTATTTCAAATTTCCTCGTTATGTTTTCCAGTAATATCAAGATGACAGAAATCAATGTTGCAATAAGCGACAATAGCTTTGTAAATGAAATGCCACATTTATAGAGCATGCCTTCTAATGTGCACGGAGTACAAGGAAAAACTGAATCAAGGAAAAACTGAATCAAACTTAAATTATTCCCTCTACTAATGTAGCTCAAAAGCAAGTGAAATGCTGAGACTGTTCTACCAATATCTCCATTAGCCATATTGTGAATAAGGATACAAACAGACGATCAACTTTGTCACAATTGTAGAGAACTCTATAGAATTGTAGAGAATTTCATATACTGACGAATCCGTCGCGACAGATTCATTGCTCATCTCATCTATTTAACTGTGGATAGCAGATCCGCGAATATGCCGTGGAAAATTCGCCCGCGTATAGGCACCTCTTTGTCACATCACAGTGATAAAGTCGACCGGCTGTTCGCGCATCTTCATTTGCAATATAATTAACAAAAAAAATTGGAACGAGTTGAATATTTCAACCATCTTTAAAGATTGAACCACATTCAGAGATATGTTCCACGAATACAACAACTTACTCAAAAAACCATCACCAACCATCATCAATCGCCTTTCACTACACTCAAGCACTTCTAACATCTTGATATTATTGAGGAATCCTTAAATATACTGTTGCAGCCTGCCAGCAAATTTTCAAATTTGTAATTCTTAATCCAAGAATAATTTGTAAATAATGCGATTGAGTTTGTTAGAACCATATAATAATTTTAGAACCAATTTAGAAACAAGAATACTATTTTAAGAATAACATATTCTTTACATAAATCTATTTATTATTGATGCCCAGGGTTAAATAGTGCTAAGTTTAAAAAAATAAAAGTTAATTTTTTCTATAAATTTTTTAAAAGGGATCTTCATAAGGGCAATTTACCGTAAGCATTCGAACAACGCGCAGATATGCTGAGTGTAAAGTGTAAACATTGTGTCGATGGCTATCGGCACAGAAACTATGTAGAATATGCTAATAAATCCGTGAAGCATCAACAGTTTGAAATATTTGTCTATGTCAAGAACATGATCTACACGATATAGAAACTTGACAAAGTATGTTTCGTTTGTAGGTAAAATTGTATAGATTCCGCTAACGATGATTGGTATCGTTGAGGAAAGACACGTCATGTACATAACAACTGAAAATATAAGTTACTTCTTTTCCTCTATGTATTTCAAAAGTTACAACATTTTAATAAAAAGAAAACGGAGTTTATTTAATAAAAATAACAAAAATGTGAGCTGCGCATTCAGAAAAAGTTTGCAAACACTTTCTTACTTGTATAATGCTCTCGGAAATATTTCGAAAAAAATGAAGAAAAAAGCATTATTATGGACAAACAATAACAAGAACGAAGTAAAAGAGAGGATAAAGAGTTAGAAATAATTTCTCATATATTGCCAGATGTGTATCCGATAGAAAAAAATGATAAATTTTAAAATAAAGGTAACTTACTCGCGTATCGTATCGTGAAAGTTCTGCTTTTCTCTGCGTAATGCTGTAATATTTTTTTCTCCGAATTTGTATGTTTTATCTTCCATGTCTCTTCGATGTCCTCCAAAAGTTCTTTCATCTGTAGCTCGAAAAAATAATTCATATACAATCACAGAATGATTCAATTCGTTTTTTATACAATCGGAAAATACGAACTTTGTTATTAGTGAATACACAAGTGACGAGCTTTATAACGATGACACTCTCCACCAGTAACTGCGAAACATTTTCCATAATGATGCTTAGATCTGTTATTCCAGCTGCTAAGCCCCACATCTGTCAAAAATCAGAAACGAATTATCTATGCTAATTTTAACATTTCCTTGTTGTGCGTTTCTTTAAACACCTCAAAGCCTATCAAACTATAAATGAACAAAGATGTTATTGCGAACATCATGTTACTCTCCAGTCGCGACTGAAATGGCCATTGGCCGATTAGGACCAGAAACCTTTTGTTAAGATAATAGTAGCGATTGTCAAAGAAGGACATTGAGAGAAAGTAATCATTCGAAATGATCAGATATCTCGTCGAGTATTCTCGTCTAATCGCAGAATTTATTTCTTTGAAATAATATTTCCGTATTCCTTTGAGAGAAAAAGAAAAGTAGCGAAACGAAAAAACATTGAAGTGTATTCCACAGTGTATTACGCAATCACATATTTATGAGTAATGAATCGTGTTTCTCTCAACAGACAAATCCTTTTTGTGATCGAAGAGATCTATAACTACGACTCTACACTGTGTATACATCGTTTCATAAAGCAAGTGAAATTCTTAAAACTATAAGATAAATGATGGCAAAATATATCCAAATTGCTGTAGAATCGCAAAGATGAAACCGTTTTATTTTATTTAAACTAAAAAAAATTAGTCGATATATTTCAGTAATTAATTTTATCAAGTTTAGTATTTTTACATTATATTATATATACTGATGCTGCTGCAGATAGAATTTGAAAAAAAAAGAAGGATCATGTATAAGTTCATTTTTTTTTTCTCTTTTCTCTTTTTTTCCAAGTCATTAAATCTTAGACAATGATTAAACTTAAAATTTAGTAATATCTCCATTTATTTATACTATATTTTTTACATTATTAACATGGCATATTCATATATTGTCAATTTTATCGTAAAAATTTTTTACTGTGAAAGTTTATATAATTTAATTTTCAATTAGGTAAAAAACTATTTTCTGCCATAATTTTCTAGATAATTCATATTAGTATACTACAAATTTTTATATTCGATAAAAAATTTTGTTTGTTCCTATATAATCTAGTTATTTCAATTATTTGAAGCATAATTTATAGCTAACTTTTAAATATTTTTATATATTTTTTTTATATTTTTCTTACACTCTTGGAAAAGTATCGAACATTCAACGTTCATCGCAAATACGGATCGATCCAAGCAAATTTTTTAATTAATTTTAATTAATTTAACAGAAGATTAATATGTTAGAAGATTGCACAAATATTCTGTAAGAGAATAAATACAAAAAGTATCGACACAGTTTGTAAACAAACCGTGAAAACATATTTTTATAGTTAAAATTAACAATTATGATATATTAAATAAATCTGCATTTTATTCATTTATCTTAAAATTTATGTTAAATACTTTTTTTTGACGTTATTTGTTTATTTTGATGATTCATCACAAAAATTATGTCATTTTAATACTAATAAATGTTGAATATCATTTTAACAAAAAACCTTTAAATAACATAATTCATAAATAACATAACTCATTATGTTAATTAAATACTCAAACGTATTAAAAAATTCAACACAAACTATTATGAAGAACATGAATGAACCATTTCCAACACAAATACACAATGTACTATGTATTATGTACTCAAGTATATAATTGTATGCAAATTATTGTAATTTATTAAATTTATTAAGATAGAAATTTAATTGAAAATTAACTAAAAAATGAGAATATGAAATATAATATTGTAAAGTTGTATAAGATAAAAATTTTTTATAATACACTTGAGAACAAAAATTCTTTTATTTATAATTATCTTTTTGTCAACAAGCACAAACCTCAGACATTCATGTTACAAATAATTATATATTAGTTTAATGATACCATTAACGTAGAATGTCATTAACGTTTAATGATATGTAACGTTAATGATATGATAGGAAACGGATGTTTTCATCAGATTAAAAATATAATACATTGTTAAGATGTATATATTTTATAATTTTGAGTATGCATAATTGAATAAAATATTGTTATATATTTTTTAGGCATTGTTAAAAAATAAATTATTTATACAAATTTGAGATTTATTTAATTTTGTAGCTAATATTCATATACTAAATTTTATCATACCGAACCGTAATTTCCAAGCAGATTATATATAATTTTGCAATAGTTATGTGATATAGTTTTTGACATTTCATTAATAGAAATAACAACATTTTTTGCTTCTCGAACACGTTTGATACCACGTTCCGTTATATCTAAAAGTTTTATATTTTTCAAATTAGTCATCGTTGCTAATTAATTACATTAATAACTTGCGCGGCAAAAGAAATTTGAGAATTATGATCTATTATTTTCTGTCCTCGTCATGGAAGAAGAATTGAAGAGATTGAATGACTACAAGTGGACTATGTCTTATCAATTCCATACGAGTCACTATCTGCGAAAATTCCATATTAGCGATCTTAAATCAATACAAAATATTTTTTTTCATAACATGTACTAGTGGATCAGTATAGTTTATTAAATTGATAGACATTAATTGTGTATAGAATATTTATTATTATCATCAAGCAGTACATTAAAGTAGAATTAACTAAACTAATGTCGGTGACAAAACATATCGCGAACGTTGATTCAATCAAATTAGTCTATTTTTCTATTGATAGCAAATAAAGATAGGAAAATTCGTATCATATTTGTAATATTTTCCGATAGACTTTAACTTTGTTCAATTTATAAAAACCTCCTCAGTAAGCAAGAAACATTTTGGAACATTTCAACAACGTTGTAGTAACATTGCAACATGGTTATTGGATCTCTATTCTAATTTATCTTCTATTCTAATTTTAATTGTATTCATTTCATTATGTTTTCAACATCGTTATCCCCTTTAAATGATTTTGCGCACTTCATTTGATATTATTTTAGGGATATCGATTCGCAAAAAAATATACATATAATAAATTGAATTAAATGGAATCAGTAATAAAGGGGAAACGCCTCCCGCAAGCAAACGACACGCAGAGTTCTACAATTTTAATTTATGCATCTCATGGACGTTATTTAAAGTATTGCATAAAACAGTACAGATGATAGTTTAATTTTGAATAATATATTTGCTATTGTAAAACAGAGCATACAGTATTATAGTCCGTCGCCATACGTCAATTATTTTAGATATACAGAGTGTCCCGTAAGTTTTTGCCAAGAGCTTGTGTCTAGATAGAACGGACTAAATTGAGTCAAAAAGTCTTCTACCATTTTGTAATTTTCGCAATGGTTAACAAGGTATTAATTATTAGATATCGCTGAATATTAACCTTCGACAATTTTTACACAAATATTATCAACTTTATAGAAAAACAATGAGAGAAAATTATTTATTTTTTGTCATAAAGTTCTGAAGAAAATTTTTTCAGAATTTTTTAATACATATTTTCTCATATTGGTAAAAATAAGAAAATGCAGTACTAAAAAGTTGATAAAAAATTCTGAAAAAATTGTTAAAATTCGATGAGAAGAAAATAAATGATTTTTGTCTTTTGCAGTTTTTCTCTAAAATTGATAATATTTCAGTAAAAAATTAATATTGAATATTGAAGCTCAATATTCAACTTATAACAATTAATATCTTAGTGTTGTTTGCATTATTGCTCCAATTTTTCAACAACGATGTCAAGTGGCAGATTGTTTTTACATAATAAACTTTTCTTTTATAATTGGATTTACTTCTTTATATAACAAGGTATTTAAAAGTATGAAGTTTTTAACAAATATTAAAGACTTTATATTAATCATAGTGGTAACTCTGTTTATAGTAATAATTCTAATATTCTAATAATATTCATAATAATTCTACAAAGATGAATTACATCCAAATTGATTCGGTTATGCAATTTTTAATATCACTTATGGAAGGAAAATTTTACCAGTATTTATAACTATTCTGTATGATTTCATATTCATATTGTTATTTGTTAAGTTTTATATATTCCGACGTTATTATTTTGTAAATTTAAATTTGTTTTCTAACAATGAAAATGTCTCGATCGGAGTTGAAACATATGTAATCTAATATTATTAAATAGTCTTTTGTATTTATATCTAGTTCGTTGCTCAATTTCCTTCCTTTTATTTTGATTTATTCGAAATCGAGCCATCGTATTTCTTTTTATAATTAATATCTATTATGCTATCTTGACCGATAATGCATAGACGTTTTGTTGAAATGATAGAAGTGATTGTCGTCCAAAGACATTTTGTTATAGCAATTCAATGAAAGAATACTTTACGAGACAATCACATATTATAATCTCGTCGAATATTCACACCTATTCATAGAACTATTTCGTATTCTCTTGGAAATGGTTGGTTTCTAAAAGAAATGGAGACATGCAATGTGAAAAAACTACACTCAGATAATACTCCACAATTTTGCGTAACAATGCATTACATATTTATAAGTAATGAGTCATATCATTCTTAACGAAACTCTTTGTAACATAGGTACCGATGAAATATATCTGCGACAGACATATTCTTTGCGTTATAAATCAAGTAAAACTATAAGATAAAGAATAGAATATGAAACATGTTATTCATGTGATCAACAATGAAACAATTTATTTTTCTTGCTTGATTAACACTTGTCTGAAGCTAATCGATGTCGAAGGAATTAGTTTTATGACATATAGTATTTTTACATTTAATTTAATTAATCAAATATGCAGAATGATTCTACTAATTGAGCTGGATTATAGCTCTTTTGTAAGTTAAGATAGAAAATTATTAGCCGTTTTCTCAAACATTAGAAAATATTGTTTTTCTTCTCATAATATTGTCAAAGTTTAGTTATTAGATCAAATTATTATAAATGTGTTCTTTCACAAGTTATTTTCGGAAATAAATTTTTGCAAATATATATTATTCGTCCAAAATCTATGAAAAAAGAGAAGTGTGTTATTTAAAGTTTATATATAGATTAAATTTTAAAGACCTTCCGACAAATTCTTTTATTTCGTAACGTACTTAACTGTATGTGGTAAAATGTGCCTTATCTACCTATGTTACTTAGATAAATGATCCGATGTATATCAACAGATGATGTGCTGATATGCGAACTTTTATCAAAGTAGTTTCATGAAAAAATGAAAATAATTACTAAATAAAAATAAGCTTATAACTACGCATATGTAACATAGTTCTCCTATTTATTAAATGTTTATTAATTGTTCCACTATTTGTAATAATTATAAACTTGCTTT